AAAAGCATAAGATGAAAGGAAAAGGAGTCACATTTCTTGGGACATTTAATAATAGCACATCATCAGAGTCAGTTCTGCATGATACAATTGCGCAGTGACTTCTCAGAGAATTGGCTGGATAGCCAGGAAGTGCTAATTCTTTCCCATCAAGTGCTAATTGAATACACAGCTGGGTAACCCCAATAAAATAACCAGCAATGAGACAGTTGAATTAGCTGATATTAAGTGGTGGTTCTTAGGGATGTCATTCAGTTCTTCACATATAGGTGTCTAGTGCCATTTGAAGTAACCTACAGTATTTAAGACATCCTCTGGGACTTAGTCTCTAGATGTGATTTCAAGGAGCATGGGCTTCCCCATGGATCCTCTTTGTCCCATAAGAATGTCTCAAATATCCTAAAGCATCTTTGTCAGTACTTGACATTTACGTATATGGAACAGAACCAAGCCCCTGGTTTCTGAGTTCAGATTCCAATTAGATAATTAAAAATAGATGCCATCACCCTGCTGCGATGTTTTTTCAGATTATCTGCAGACCGGGGAAAGGAACACTGCATTAGCCCACGTGCCAAAGGTCATCTTTGCAATTACAAGCCCATTGTTAGGAGTTAATCATGATAACTACTGGAAAAGGGTATCAGTGAAGAGCCTTCAAAATGTGGACAATATGACCTTAATTATAAGATTTTTATTCCTGTATTACATGGCTTCCTGAAGCTCTGCACATTAAGACAGCGTTGCCTGTTTTTTGCAAAAGAAACAGTAATTGGCGAGAGTTAGGGTACGTGTTTTCTGTGCCTCCATCTTCCAAATACAGCTTCCAGCTGAACCAGAAGAGAAGATTTTTTCTGTGACTCTGTAGGAGACGAAGTCAAGGGGATTTATACTTCAACGGTCTCTGGAATGGAATACTGATGCTGCTATGAGGAAGGTGAATAAACAACCCTCAGAAAATAATCTTTTTGGAGAATGAACAATAGTACAATCACGCAGATACATGTAATGGGTATGGGTAATGAAACAGAATTTGAAAAGTGTAATACATATTTTATCATGAAAATTGAACATTTAAGAGGGTAACTCAACATCCATTTGGAAATGCTTCTTTTAAGTATATTTTGTAATAGATGATCTACCTGCTTGAGTGTGATGGAAAAAGAAATTTTGAATTTTTTTAATATTCAACAGGTTCTTGTTGATTCTGGCAAAACAAGCAAAGCACACGCACTTCCCAAACTGCAGTAACAAACAGAAGGGTGCAGTAGGTTATCTGCAAAAAGCAGCTGAGCTGACAATGCTTATAAAACAAAGCAGGCAGCAGGAAATACAAGTGGTCCAGTTCTAATTATACACCGGGAAGAAAATGCTCATAATTGCAACAACTGATTTCTCGGTCTGTCTTGCATTAGGTAAACATTTTTGCAAACCATACTGTCTCGGTTTTTCCTACCTGCAAAATGAGAATAATTGTTATTTAGCAAAATTAACATTTAAAACTTGTATTTAATTCCCAGTGTTATCTGAAATTATTAGAGCATTACTCCATAATCTGATCATTCTGTCTTCATCCACAGGGAAAAAGAAACCTCCATGCATCATAGCTGTCAGCGCAGATGAAGAAAGCAGTCACTCCTTCTTTTTCCTAATCCTCAGACTACTCTTTTTAGCTATGTCTATCTTAGTACTTCAAATTGGTATGGGGACCGTTCTTGGGTCCTAAGGCCACCTGCACCTGCACCCCGATGCCCAAATTCTGATCTCATGTTACTCTCTGAACTACGCTTGGTTCTCTAGACCATGCTAAGGGGATATGCTGACTGTTAAACCAGTAATTGTGGGACAGTGTTTGACACATCCCTAGCACTCTATAGTTGTTAGTGAGGATATAATCAGAAAAGGAAGAAAATATGAAAACAAACATTCTTCCTGCATGTCTTTTTCCTCCCAAAACTCTTCCTGAAGGTAAGCTCACAGAAGAAGGTGTTAGGACAGACCAACTGGTATTGCAGATTCTGCTATGACACCAGTATGTCTTTTCAATGCTGACAATTTTCAGCTTCTATGGAGACCTAAAATGCAGACAATCAAAGTCTGATACAACTGACATGAATTTTTGCATTATTTAATGAGTAAAAAACCTTCCATGGGACTAGTTGTGGAACCAGTTGTGTCCAATAGTAAAGGCATGGTATTTGATCTTGACAAAGGTAATCAAAATTATGTGTCTTGTAGGAAATATGACAGAAGAAAAATAGGAGAAATATGCCACAGAATTAATGCTCCAATTAGCTTAACTGCTACTTGAATTTAATTAACTATTGTATTGCTCGAAGATGTTCTATAAATGGCTTGCAAATGTACATGTGCAGAGGAGTGGCATTAATCTGTGTTATTAAGGCATAAAGATTTATTAGAAGATCTCACAAGATCTGTAGTAACCAAACCTGCAATGACATAACAGAGTTAAGTCTTACAAAAATGCTTATCTTTATTTTTAATGCAATATTCACTGCTGATGCCAGGGTTTTTTTCTTTCTGGTTTCTTGCTGCAGTCTACACTGTGATATTCATTCATCTCTTGAAATGCCTCACTTCTGTGAATAATCTTACATTTCCCCTGGTACTTTGCAGAAAGCAAGGTGCTCTATTATATTCAAAAATCTATGCCCTCTGAAGTGCACAAAGGTTTGACACTGACTCCTGTGGGATGGCTCAGAGGGTATGTATCACTATGAGCAGACAAACCACAATTTAATTGGAAATTATACATTCCATAGCTTAATTGTTAAATTTGCATCCTTTTTTCCAAAATACAAAATTTCTCTGCAGGGATAATTTGAATACCTTTGTCACACTGAAGAGGGAACGAACTAATTAAATTCTGGATTGCCAATCAAGTTGAGAACAAAATATGGAAAACCCCATTAATCAGCAGGCAAGTAACGGTACTCGAATTGTGATAGAGCCTAACGTATCTTGCAAATGAAAATGCCACCTCCACTCTGTAGCATAACAATATGCACAGATTTCTCCCTGCCCCCATCCCCAATCTTTTTGCTCAAGTCTGAAGTGCACTCTGTAATGCATTATTAAGCTAAATTCTGACCCAGTTTCTTAATTATCTGTAAGCTACATGGAACTTGTCGCAGAATATTAACTAAGGCGAGAGATGTAAGACAGAAGAATCTACGATGGCATCATTAGCATCTCATCTACGAGAATTATTAGCATTTTGCTAAGAAAATCCTTCCCATTTTAATATTTAACTTAGCCTAACATGTAGAACTTATATGTTAAAGCAGTGCAAAGTATATACCAACCAAGCCACCAAAACAACCCAGGCAAAAATAAAAGAAAACCAATATTTGGGAAAGCATTCCTGGATTCAAAAAATCAAAACCTGTAGCATACTGACATTTCTGGGACAACAGGATTTTTTCCAACTGCTCTTAGTGGATATCATCAACAGTTGTTACAATCTCATATAATGTTATGTGCTGAACTATTTATTTTAGATGAATTGTAGAATATAATCTGCTATGGATTATATACATGTACCAAATTTTTGCAGGGTGCAATAGGGATAAACAACAGTCATACTAAATGACAGTTTGAAAGAATCCTCCAAACACTTTTATGCCTGGTTAGTATCAAGTTAGTGGCTGCAGTTTTATACGTCTCTGCACTGCTACGTATTAGTGGAATATGAGAAATTTTCTTGGTGAAAAATCAACCGTGGATACACTATATCAGAAACAACACATGGGCTTCTACCTACAAAGCTGCGGGCATCTATGATTTTGAAGACTTGCTGTCACTCTGATGTAAAAGTGTTTGAGTGAGTGAAAAACATACTGCAAGAGCAATGTATTTAGTGAGAACAATTTTTAATATAAAACATATTTCAAAATCATTTGAGGAAAAAAATACTTTCCCCACCCTGTAATTGAAGGATTTGTATGCTCATATAGAAAGTCAAGCTTTAATTGTAAAATTTAGACAGCAGAGAAAGTCTGCGATATGTGTTTATCATTTTGTGGACAAGGATGTATTTATTCAGTTCAAAGATCAAAGAAAACAGATGCAGTCCAGTTACCATCGAGTTGAGGAGTCACCTAACTCAGGAGAATACGCAATTTATATATACATTTTTTAAAAATATTTGTTTCATGAATTCATCATCAAAGAAATCCTACAGTTTGAAAAAGAGCAAGCATTGGTTAAACACATTTTTTTATTAGTAATAGTGTCAAATGCAACTCGTGGCAATTCTGTAGCTTGCAAAACATTTGCTGATTGAAAAGTGCTTACAAGCTTAATGTACATTCAAGTACATCGCTTCAATTTGAAGTGGACTTTCTCTAGTGGAGCATCCGGATGTATCATTGCTAATGCTAACACTGTGAATTTCCCACTGCAAACCACCAAATACTCTTCTTCCCCTATGAATTTTTCCCAAAATTTCTCCAAAGTGACAAACAACAAGACTGAGACACCCTTCCTTTACACATAAGGAAAAAAAAATCAAAATCAACATGTTATGCTTGAGCACCTAAACCAGTGCGTCGGCATCTAAACAAACAGCCTGATTTTCAAAGGCCAGAGTTTTCAAAAGTACCGCACACTTTTCCATTTTGCATGGTCTTATATTTTTCTTTCTAGACTAATCCATGCATTCTGTCAGGCCCAAACATTCATACCAGAGTATCCCCTACAGAGAAGGAACACCTTTTATTCATGCATTTGCAGTTCGTTTGTGTTGACTGCAATCAAGCCAGCATTTTGTCAGCTGTCCCTCAGCCCAAGGAGAGAGCAACTGCAGCAGCACATGCTCCCGGGACAATGCTGGACCCCAGGAGGATGTTTACTGACTTCAATATGTCATGCAAACCACCTGTGACATCCTGACCCCACAGTGTTTGTTTCTTTCATCTCCTGAAGTGCTTTGATCCAGTGGTGGACTGTGAGGAAGTCTGCATGGCCTCTTAGGTGGGGAAGCATTCTGACCGACGCAGACACGGTTGGACAGACAACCTAAAGGCTTCGACCTTGTCTCCGTTGGGCAAAGAAAAGTCCTTAATGAAAATATGCTGGTATCTATTGTTCTTAGCATAATCACCAGTGCTATTATTGTTACATGAAAGATAACCCCCTCCCCCAAAAGCAAAATCATCTGTTTAGACACAGCAACATTTTGCCTCGTTGTGTCATGCCACTCCACGGTCATTGCTACTTCTCTCACAAACATGTCCAGTAAGAGGTTTTCTTTTTTCTTCTCAGGACTCTATTTCTTCCATCACTTCCATCACAATCGTTCGAGGGCCCGTCAGAATGAGGTTGCTCACTGTCCTGTAATCCACATGGAGAACGTTGAGGCCATTGACAGACACGACAAATTGGCAAACCTGAGGAGAAAGGCAAGCAGCAAAAAAAGTTACACATTAGACTCTTTTTGTAAGGTTATTTACACAGATGTCCTATCAACTCCCAGCCATGCAAAAACTCCAGAGTTCTTCATACCATCTCATTCATCATTCTTAAGAAAAACTCATTTCTTAGAATTAACCTGGTACGTTAATTTTACTTAAATTTTTTGAAATATCACTGTATCTTTCAAATCTGTGGAATTTTGAGGTCCTACATCAAACATTTTTCTTATAGTAATGGTATTTTTCTTATAACAATGATATTTTCTGATGGTGCTTTGCAAACAATATGGGACAAGACAGCTCTGGCCACTGCAAAGTCTGTTGTCCTTAGTTTGTCTCAAATACTTTCATAGAAATTATTTTAGACAGTTTGTGATAGTCACAGTAAAAATATGCATTGTGTTTCCAGGCTCAGGGCAAGGTCTAGATGATGAATTCACTAGATTCAGTGCCAGAACCTCCACCGGTACAACATGAACCCTAAGGATCCCAATTCTAGGAAATAATACCATGGAAGATGAAGTCAGTACTAGGGCACATTAAAATGCCACTGCCATTTTCAGAAGATATTCCTATGCTGATTTAGTTCTTTTTACTTTTTATGTGAACAGTTTTTGTTTTTCTTCAGCAAGTATGGTTCATTAATTAACTTCAAATATGCTAATATTTTGTTTCTAAAAGCTGTAATAAATTCAAATGTTGGAAGTCTTGTATCATCAGAGGCCACTTTCTGACCAAAAAATCCTGATAGACATATTCCGACCAAATACTCTGTGTATTTTAAAACACTCAAGGAAAATCAGAGAAAAATTCACAACAATGTTGTGAAGAACTGACAAGGAAAAGAAAGATAACAATGCTGATTCCTCAAAAACATTAAGCCTTCTCTGTATCTAATCATAGTACAGTATTTGTCAAAAAGGCCCAAAATGTTGTGGTTTCTAGATCTGTATTTTTAATGATAAAAATATGGAGCCTAAAGCAACAATAATACCATCCTGATGTTTCAATTAAAACAATACATTCACCAAGAGGTTCTCTTACTCATGAGTGATCTTGAGTTTGTATGAAAGAAGCTGAATGATCATCGAAGTGTGGCACTCAGCGATACCACTTAGACAACTTCCGTATCTTTCATACATTAAATGCTGTATTTTAGCTGCAAGTAGCATTGGGAAAACAGTTCAGTTTTTGCATGCAGAGAAAGCCTCTTGAATTTTAAAGATTTTAGGTGAAAAGGTAACCCATCATCCTCTGCAGTGTGCCTCGATCAGTATTTAAGAGGCATGTCTATTTAGTTTAAAATGCAGATTTTTGCAGTATCTATAGGTCTCTTAAATCCCAGCAGTATTTCCCAACGCTTTCTATGGCCTTCCAAGATTGTATCAAGTTTTACTGAATTATAGCTCTGGCTCCAGAATAATATTTGAGTTGATTTAAAACAGACCTGCAGAAATAACATTGTCTCTTCTGGCTTAATGCAATTTTTGGAAGTTTGGCTGACGTTTCTTTTACTGCTGCATATTCTCAGACTTCTTGAGTTACTGGAATCCCAATGCATGGGACTCGTGTTTGGCCAAGGACAGGCATGCAAGCATGTGATGGATAAATCTGCATGCTGAATCATGTCAGGGACATTCGGGGGCCTCCGGGGAACATCCCTGGCAGAGGAACAGACTTTCCAGACCAACCAGCCACTTGTATCAGGGCTACAACAGTGTAAATGTGGACGGTACAGGCACCGCAGCAGTGAAAAGAAATCTGGATGACAAAGAATTAATTTCTTACGCAAAAGACAAGAGTTGACATATCTGTGTTCTCAATGTGTTTGTTTTAATGTATGTCCTTGGCAGTATTATTAATCAGCAATGCGTACGGGATGAGAACAGTCCCCTTCGTGTCATCCTTTGCACTGGACCCAAATGTCTTATTAGTTTCACCATTTCCATTGGGTAGGATTAGCTACAAAAAGTCCACCCAAGCCAGATGAGAAGAGAAATGTGAAGAGAAAGTCAAGGCACAGAAGAGAGTACTTCTGTCCTAAAATCGCATTAAAATACCTCTGAGGAACAGGAGATAATAATAAAGAGCCAGTCACCCGGAGGCATAAAGCTCTCTCTATGGCCTTCGCTTGACCAGTGCCCCCAAGGGCTGAGTATCTGCACATTCAAGATCCAGCTCGCTCGAGGATAAAGAAATGTGGATCCATTTGCTGTATCCTCCAGTCATGATGCAGGGAGAGATGTTTGCAGAGTTCTGAGCCCTTTGGTATGCTGGGAGCCCTTGGCTCACCCAGTTTTCTTCTCCCCACCCCAGTTTTCCACCCAGTGCTGCACCCATCAAGGGGAAATGAAATGCAATGCTGCTTCATGCATTTTGGCCACCATCCATCCTGCCCCAAAAAAGCCCACATTGTGCATTGCTCTCTTGGTGGAGCTACAAAATGAGCGAGAGCAACTGAGTACCCACAAACCAGCCCTGACTGAGTGTATCAACCCACGTATTATCAGCTCAGGAATTTTCTTAAGGAAACTGGTTTACAAAATCATAATGATTTAATGTTACATTTATAAAAACACATTTCAAAAAGCTGTAAGTGCTCAGCTCATAGCTACAGCTGTTAAGGGCTTTGTAACTATAAACATGAAAAATTTCTCTGTTGGTTTCCACAGATCAGTAACTATAATAGATAATAAACTAAAGTTAAAAGAGCCTCAAAGAGCCTTTTATTGCTCATTTCCTCATAGCTCTCTGAGGAGCCTGACAGGAGATAAGCATCCATTTTTATCCCTCAGACTTCAAGAAATGACAAAACCCAGAATAAATTCCAACCATTTTGTTGGTCAGGATGTGGCAATCTAAAAACTACAGAAACAATAAGTTAAATAAAGGGACACCAAAGTGAAAAATTCCCTTAATTAAATTCAAATATTTGAATGTTACAGTAATAAACATTTATTGTTAAGTATCTAAATTTCCCACCCTGGCATACAGCAGCCCACAGAAGGAGGGGCAGCAGAAAAGGCACCTCTGTCTTCCTGCAGGTTTTCACTGGCACATATGGAAGATTTAACCAAATCCAGGTGTTCCAAGGAAAAGGGAAGCTTTGGACTTACACTGAAAAGAAACCTATTACTTAAAAAAGCCTGCAAAGATTTGCCATGCCATTTATCATCAAACTGGAGATGGCGAGAAGAGGAATTATAATCAGTTACCATAATGCTTTGACAGCCAAAATCAGGATTGTCCTGTACTTGGAGCTGCACAACCCTTCCTCCCCCTCACTAGTTATTGCTCTTCCCTCCACAGCAATCTTTGGCTGCTGGCCATTCCTCAGTCTTGCCAAGCTGCCCTGGAGATGTACAAATACACCCCGATTTTCCTGTGGGGAGAATTGTCTGCCAGCCAAACCAAAGCCCCGCTCCCTCGCAGGGGGCTGCTGGCACCAGGGCTGGACGCTGAGCCAGCGCTGATCAGGAGCTGCAGTGAGGATGACTGCAGGATGCTCCCAAGGGACCTTTCACAGAATCATAGAATCATAGAATGGTTTGGGTTGGAAAGGACCTTAAAGATCATCTAGTTCCAACCCCCCTGCCATCAGCAGGGACACCTTCCACTAGACCAGGTTGCTCAAAGCCTCATCCAGCCTGGCCTTGAACACTTCCAGGGAGGGGGCATCCACAGCTTCTCTGGGCAAGATCATGATTACACAGTGACTTTAATTTGAAAAAAAAATTTTTTAAAAAGCTTGAGATGTAGAGGAACATGAAAGCCCGCACCAGCATACAGGGAGTGCGTGACCAGGGGTGGCTGGGGTACTGCCCACAGCAAATGTGCGCACCCCATTTCAGTGCTTGTGGGTTAAGGCTCTAATTCTCAATGGATTTATCATTTCCATTTTGGTGTAGGATCAGTGTATGGAATCCACTCTGCTGGTTTTTTACTATTTTTTTTTTAAGAAAGAGAGTATAAACACTATTGCAAATAATTATCTAATAGGCACCAAAGAAATCAGTGTTACCAAATACAACATAGGCTTGAAATTCTTGAATATAAAACTACATTATGCAAAGACACATCTTGTCACAGATAGTGGCAAAAAATGCTGGTTTTCAGCAGTACTGATGCTTTACCCAATTACCTGGGCAGCGACAGGACCATTCAGGGTCTAAGATGGCAACACACAAAGTTGCTACCAGCACACTTGAGTTTTCTCCTCTGCCACCACCAAGGACAAAGTTTTAATGGGCTGTTTGACACTGATAGCTGCTCTGGCATCAGGTGTTAACAGCGTAAAGACAAGCTGAAAACATTGCCACCAATTCATTTCCATTGAAGGTGTGAATATTACTGTACATGTGGCAACTGCATAAACAAAAATCTTAGAAAAGGCTGGAGGGAAAGCGTGAAATCCAGCCCTGCACTAACCTTTCACTCCAGAGCACACAGGATTTCACCTCTGGACTCTGTACAGATCTGAACCAGATTTCTAGCAGCTGGCAGCTCAAACCAGGGCCACGTCCGGCTGCAAAGCAGATCCCACTGAAACCAAGGTACTTCAAAAGTTATTAGCACACTGCACAGCAACATGCAGTTGCTGGGAAAGCTGTGTATGAATCAGGGCTGGCTCAGTCATCCACCATGAGACAGACTGGATTTAACCCTTTGCTCTGTTCATAATTTTTATGCACACCAATTTACATATAGTTATTGGATAGTGTTGACTATTATTTCTTCTTATCATCTGATGCAACACCAAAGGCACACAGATAATTTTTACTTTAAGACAAGCCATTCCCAAAATACATGGAAAAATGTATCAGTTTCTTTTTGGTCTTTTTTTTTTAAACTTTATTAGCATCAAACAGAAATGATGAATTCAGGCAAATGTAGGAGTTATGTTCAACCCTGGAAATATCTTCAGCAATTTTCCTAAGAACTAAAATAAAAGCTTCTAAGTATAACTTATTTCAGAG